GGCCAATGCATTGTAGATTCCCAAAACAGACAAGGCAGGGAAGATACATAAATCAAGCCATCAGGGCTTATACTGGCACATTCTTATAGACTTCCCTACTAGTGTCACTTAAATTGGAGATGTAATACATTTTTATTAGTTTGAGTCACTCGTTTATTTATTCAATAAATATTTATTGAGCACTTACTATGTGTGAGGTCCCGTGCTATGAGTGAAAAACTGAATCACAGGTGCCAGCATATGCTTTATAGAGGACATTAGGAAGTCTCCAATTCCCACCTCTGCTACTCTTAATATGAACAATCAATCAGAAGGAAATCAGTGAGTAAAAGGGCCACTTTGTCCTTTAAAATGCTGGGAATCCTAAAGATACTGGAACCTATGCGTAAATAAACCAAGAATTAAGAAACCCCCGAGGCAGTTGAGGGCAAACAAGAAGATAATCTTTTAGTTGTTAGCCTAGTGCTAGAGTGCTGTGAAAACATGAGGGGATTCCACTAGTTTTAACTGGACATGTCTGTTGCTTGGTTAACTGAAGAGTCTCACATTGTAAGGCTCTTAGGGGTATGTGAAATAGCCCCCAAAGGTACAGATGAAGACATATTAAGAAATCCAACTAAAAATGTAATCCAGTGGGTACAAATCCCACCACCATCACTATCACAAGCACCCATTTCCAACTTGCTACACTGTTATTTCTTTTATCATATTGCAGATGAGTGTTGTGAATATTGTTTAGGTGAACCACCTCTGGCCAGCAATGCAAAAGCAAACCTTTCTCATTATAACTCCTGCTCCACCACCCCACACACGAAAAACACGCTTCTGCAGAAGAAGGCAGTGTAGTGAGGACATGCAGAAAGTCTGGGCTTTGTGGTCAGGGATATCTAAATTTAAAGGCTGTCTCATCCCAACACTTATTGGATCCATCATACAGGCGAGTTACTTAACTTCTCTGAGTCTTAGTTAACTCATCCTTAACGTGTGCATAATAATACCTATTAAAGGGGTAGTTCTGGAATAATGAGTATAGAGCACCTAACTTCTTGACACACAGACGGTGATTGATAAATATCGATTCCCACCATCTTGCAGACTTATAGAGCTTCAGCCTCTGGTTGGTCTACACTCTTCCTTGGGCTATCTTCTTATCCTGTTTAGTTTGCTATTTCCTCTTCACTGGCAGATGCTGGGCCTCGTTCTCACAATAGAAGATGCTCAGCATCTTTGATTCATTTATTAAATAAATATTTATTAAGCACCTTGTATGTGTAATATGTTGTATTAGGGCCAGACTGGATACAAAGATGAATCAGATATCAACCTTACCGAGGACTCTTTATAATTTAGGAGGGAAGCCAAACTTGCAGTACAAAGTACAGAGTGATGTGTAATTTAAGAAAAGCAAATAAAGTGTTGTAACTCAGAGAAATGAGAAATTCTTTCCATTTGGGGCAATCAGGGAAGACTTCTTGAAGGAGATGCCACAAAAAATAGGCTTTATGGATGGATAGGGCTTAGATGTGTGAAGATGGGTGAAGGACGTTATCAACAGAGTTATTGTAGGAAAAGGAATGTATGCAGGGAAGCAAAGGGTTTATAGAAAGAATTCCAAAATAGCATCATGCATCTGGGAGATGGAGTGAGTGAAGTAAAGAAAAGACAAAGCAAATTAGCATCAGACGGTACAGGATCCTGAAGGCCAGGCTAACAAATCCGGATATTATCTGCAGACAATGGGAAGTCAGCGAAGGTTTCTAAGCAGGGAAACAATATGACCCATATGGCCAGAGCTCTCTTCATCTGTTTTTCTATGTGAGCAGCCTGGGCCTCCCTTCACTAATGGTCTTGTAGTCCAAATGTCTGCATTTCCCTCCAAAGACCCTGCCTAAGCAAAGTTTACCAGATTTCCATCCACTTCAGAGTCCAAGCCACCCTTTCTGAGAACTCTTTAAGTTTTATTTTCCAGTCTGAATCCATTGAGGGGATTTATGCTGACGTCATAAATGATTGGCACAATCTAAATCCAAAGAAGGCACAAGCCTTTCACCACCCAGGTTTTAATTTCTGCGACTTATCCATATTTCTGTGGATAGCATTATCATCACTCATTCACTCTCAGGGGAGTAGCCATTCAGAATTTATCATTACAGGTGTACAATTTTGTAAAAACAGCAAGAAAACTTTCAGGCATATTAACAGATAGCTCTCAAGAGGGCACATGAGATCATAAGTACTTTCCAGAATTAGAGGGAGAACTGTCACCCCCAGTGGAAAAAAAAAAAAAACCCAGCTACCTCTTCATCAGTTTCTTAAAACACTACAATCCAGAGTGAGTTCCCTGTAAACCGACAGAGACGATGTATCAAGTATATCCCAAATATGCCATTTATTGGAGATTATTTGTTTACTTATCAGCCCCCTTGTCTGAACAATTCAGTTTGGTTTGAATGACCTACATCATCATTTCACTTATTCATCCTATACAGAAAAAAAAAATGCCAGCAAAATGCAGGAGGAAGGGAGGGATGAAAGGAATATAAGCCAGGAGAAAAGCAACTGAGGAGAATGCAGAGAAAAGCACAGATGAAAGAAGGAGCAGGAGAGTGAAGACTGAATTCATCCTGTTGGACAGAATGCCTGCTCTGCCTGATTAAGAATAGACATAGCACAGTGCCAATTGTGACTGAATGAATTGCCAGAGCCAATTAAATGTACTGAGAGCCCACTATGGGCCAAGTGCTAAAGATACAAAGATGAATAAGGTAAGACCCCTGCTCTTAACCAACTCCAAGTTTAGATGAGGAAACTGATAACTAAACAAAATAAATTGCAACACAAATGGGCTGAAATGCTATAGGAAATAGGAGCCATTGAAAAAGCCTTGAGAGCACCACCAGAGACAGAAAGAGGATTCTTGAGAGGTGTGCTATTTGTGTGCCTTTAGGAAAGTCACTGGAACCTCTAAACCTCGTCTCTAGGAAGCGATTCCATCTGGCTGCCTACCTCTCAGGCTTGTTTTGACATTAAATGAAGTCAGGTTGAAAATCCATTCTGCAAACTGAGAGTTCTATGGCAAGGTATGAGATGGCTAATTTCTCCATTCATTTGAGCAAAGGCCTATAGAGCTTACTTTGTGCACTGGGTACCAGTACTGTGGGACTGAGCACTGACCCCTCTCTGGCTTCTCCCTGTCCCTCCACCCTTCCAAGCTTTAGCACAACCAATCTGGCATGCTATTGTGTGTTGAAGCACCCACAAACACACAACCTGGGAAATAATGGGAAACACTCACCAACTTCAGGTTGCCTCCATCCTTGACATCCACAGAAGGCAGCAGGGTGAGGGCCTGGCCCCCAGGGAGAGTCTCTGCTGGATTTGAGAGCCCTTGTCCTCTCCCTGGCCCCCTTTCCTTCTCCCATCCAGATCTTTCTAGCCTCTTTTCAACACTTTCCTTGTCCCCTTTCCTGCCTACTTCTCTTTACCTGTTACAGAGTTCCTGTTTTCTCTGCTTTACTCCCTCTCCCCTTTGGGCATTAGCGCTTCTCCTGTTTGAGAACAGAGTAATTTCTCAAATCTCCTGGAAGTTGTCTATGAGGAAGAGGGGAGGAGAGGCGTCTCCATGGAGGCCGGTGAACCTCTGAAGCTATCTCTTAGAGCCGTATCCCGACGACGCTGGGGCTCTCTGACTCCCCCTCCTTCCTCCCTCTCTCTCCTTCCCTCTCCCCTCTCCCTTCTCCCCTTTTCTTCTGATTTGGTAATTCTCTCTCGTCCTGTCCCCGTTCTTCTCCACGGACTCTAAACCCATGTCCCACTTCTCTTTTTAGTCTCGCACCCCTCTCCTCCCCTGGCCCTCGGTCCCAGCGCCCCCTGCTCGTTCTTTCCTCTCCTACTCGCCTATCCGCGCTGGCTCTCCAGCAAGCGCGCTGGGACGAGTGACCAAGTTCTGCCGGGACTCTGGGGCGGACGTGTAGCAGCTCCGGACTCTGCTCAGCAGCCGATGACCTCACTGAGTTTTGCGCACGTGATTGGCTACTTCTGGGCTTACGGCGGGAGACCCTGAAAAGATTCGCGGGCCGGTTTCTTTGTCCCTCCGCCTCTTCAGGTTGAGTTGGAGAAATAGGCCATTGACACTCTCCAGCAATTCACAAAAGAGTTCAGGGGCTACCTGCTAGGAAGGAGGCAGTGACTCAGGCATTGGGGGTTTGTTGTGCCAGAGGAGGGGGTAGAGTCAGTGCTATCAAGTGGGCGGTGGGACTGAGGGTGGAGAGGAAAACTTGAGAATTTAAGCCCCCAATAGAAGGCAACAATCTGGGAAGACGTGGGGCAACTTTCAACCCTAACTGCTGTCTGTGTCTTCAATGGTAGGGGTCTTAACTTGAAATAAATAAAACATTGGAATTGAAATCGGGCATTTAATTTCCAGTCTGTGCTCTTCTTTTTGTATGACTTTGGGCAAGTCACTTCATTCTGTTTCCACTCTGCAAAGTGGAAGTGATAATACCAGCGTACTTAATAGGTTTATTAAAAGGATTAAGTGTGAAATTTCTAATTATTAAACCTGTTGTTATTTTAGTAGATAATACAGTGTAGCGGAAAGAATCCTGGATAAGTAGTGAAAATTCTGGTTATCTTTCATTTTTCTGTAGTGACTTTCATCAAGTCACTTTTAACCTTTGTGGGCTTCACTGTCCCCATCTGTGAAGTGGGAGAACTGGACCGGATGATCTCTAAGATCTCTTTTGGCTCTAACATATGATCTACTGATAAACTTAGCATCCTCCTTTAATTCACCCTTTCGGAGGAGGAGCTCACTTCCTTTTTCAGGACTATGGTTAATCTCTCCCCTTTGTGAGAAACCCACCTTCTCTCAGGTATCCTGGTGAGCCTGCTTTTCATAGGGGCCTAGCTTCTCCCCCATCCCCAACAATGAAAGTATAGATCCCAAACTGAAGCAGCATGTATGCAGGGCTCATCCTTGATGGAGATTCTCTCCCCAGGCTACTGGCAGGAGCAGGATTTGGAGCTGGGAACTCTGGCTCCACTCGACGAGGCCATCAGCTCCACAGTCTGGAGCAGCCCTGACATGCTGGCCAGTCAAGGTGAGAATCCAGGCCCCTCATCTCAATGTCCCTCAGTTCCCTCAACCATCCTCACATCATCTCCCACTCATGTCACCTCCACCCCATGTTCTCACTCCCCTCATTACCACGCACTCTTTCTCCTTCCATCCGACGTTGTAGTTCTTAGTTCCACACAAACTTCTCTGGCACCTACTTCTTCTTCCCTTACTCCAGTACACAGACCTCTGTATCCCCTACATCTTTTTCCAAAAATAAAATGATTCCAGGAGGAGTGTATTACTCAGAATAAAGAGGTTCTGGAAAGACACAATCGAGGTAGAATTCTTCAAAAGGAACCGGGACAACGGGATTACAAGTCAAAAATTGGTATGTGCCTAGCAGTAAATAAAAGGTTTCCCGAGTCTTTTGTTGAGATATATACAGAATATATCGCTTCCAAATTTACTCAGCCAGCTTAGTCTCTGGCTCACTAATCTCAAAATCATAGTTCCAATTCTCAAGTTAGATGATTACTTGAGGAGCATTCCAATGAGAAGGACACTTCATTGAGAGTCAGAAGAAAGGAGTTCTAGTCCTAACTAGAATCACTGATTAGTAGAATGATCTTAGGCAATCACTTCACCTCCATTGCCTCATTGTCTACATCTGTAAATCGAGGGAATTGGATTCCATGATCGCTAAGATCCCCCTCACGTCTAATTTTTGTGATTCTAAACACTAAAACTAGCAGCCAGGCTTTGTGCTCCAATTCAGAGGCAGCCATCCTGAAGCACTGGTGCTTGGTGTCAACTCCAGCACATACTACCTTCCCTCTTCCGGGCCCCTTCTCTGCTAGGAGCGCTCATTGTATGTTTCTTGAAAATGGAGCTCTGGTGACCAAGAAAGAAAAGAATAAGAAGACAGGGCAGGGGTAAGTTCAGTGCTGTAGGGAGCATGGGGATTGTTTTAAATTACTCAGTTAGGGAATGTAAGAAATAAGTTTCTTGGTGTCCTATTCAGAGATAAACAATGCTGGTTAAGTAATTTAGCACCATAGAAGAAATTTATGGAAGTTTCAGACTCAGAGCTGGAAGATGTTGTTTATTTTAGTTCTGTGGAAGTAAGTGCTATTGGGTCACAGAAAGTCAGTCCTGAAGATGAGGGAATCAATACTGGGAATCAGAATCCATGCTGTGGGAACATGGACCAATATAGGGTGGAGGAAGCAAGAATGACACAGTCTGAGGGGCTCACAGCTAGGCCTAACTGGAAGGCATATTTGGGATTCAAATGGCTCATCCATATGACACCTTATTACTCCTTTTTGTTTGTTTGTGTAACTTGACTAGGGAGAGGAGTTAGAAAACATATTTCCATCACACTGAAGGGAAAACTTTAATCCTTTACTCTTTAAAATAACATCAGGATGGTGATTTGGGTTTGGGTGATGGGAGGCGGGTAGTACTAATCCCAAAAGGAATATGTTAAGGGAATTGATGACTGAAGGGAAGTTATTGTTGGAGGAATTGAAAAGTTTATGTCAAAATGTTTCAAGTTTTACTTTTTATCTTTTTTGTTTGTTTTGCAGTTGTATAGCTACCTCTTGTGTAAATGAATGTACAACCCGAGGGCTCACTCAGCCTTTCCCTCACTTTTAGTTGCAGGATTATTAGTCACAACCACTTCTCCTGTTCTTGCTCTTCTGCACAGGTGGTGTCAGGAAGGCGAAACTTAGAACCACAGATGCGTATGTGTGTTTTCAAAGCTGAATGGTAGAACTCATCAGAAAAGATACATGTGGAGTGGTCTGTGGAGATTTGGGGTGCCTTTATTCCTCTAAATGTTTGTGGCCCTGTCAGTTCATTCAGCAAGTGACTGTTTTTCTGTGTTTTCAAAGCAAGAGGAAATAAGGTCTGCCCCCCCCTTCCCTTCCCCCTCCACCACCTCTATTCCTTCCCCCACGAGACAGACACTTGGGCCTTGGATGGTCTGAATTAGGTGAGGTGGACTTTGGCCCAGAAATGGGTGGAGGAGCCAGGGCTTCCTCAGGAAATTAACCCTGTTCTACTCCTGCAGACAGTCAGCCCTGGACATCGGACGAGACAGTGGTGGCTGGTGGCACCGTGGTGCTCAAGTGCCAAGTGAAAGACCATGAGGACTCATCCCTGCAGTGGTCCAACCCTGCCCAGCAGACTCTCTACTTTGGGGAGAAGAGAGGTAGTGTTCCATGAGTTATCTCTGTCCTTAGGAACCATGGGCTTAGGAAGGGGACTGAAGAGCCTGAGGGGAAATGTCCCTGTAGTCCAGAGGCTGAGATATGTGAAGGTATGCTATTTGAGGAAGCAACAAGCCATGGGCTTCTCAACTCATTCAAGAGAAACTTCAGTATTACATGGCTTCAGTAAGACCTAGGCCACACATGGTCTTATAGGGTCCTGGAGTGATTCACCTCAAAGGAGCCCTAAGAGATAGCTGATGTCAGCATTGCCTCATATATCTCACAAGGAAGCCCACAAGATCCAAAACCTACTTTTCCGAGTTTCTCCGAGGCTACTGTGCCCAATGGCCCAGGAAAGTGACTGAATAACCTAAAGACTGCTCAAACCCAGGAGCAGTTTTTTCCCCCACCCCAAACCACACTAGACCCCTTCTCCCAAAGAAGTTGGCCTGGGATTGGAAGATAAAACATGAAAGGTTCCAGTAAAAGCTTTGCTTCTGATTCTCCCGATTTCCCCAGCCCTTCGAGATAATCGAATTCAGCTGGTTAAATCTACTCCCCATGAGCTCAGCATCAGCATCAGCAACGTGGCCCTGGCGGACGAGGGCGAGTACACCTGCTCCATCTTCACTATGCCCGTGAGAACAGCCAAGTCCCTCGTCACTGTGCTTGGTGAGGCTCCCAAACCCCAGTGTCTCCGCAGCATGCTTCCTTGCAAACAAATCTCCCTAGGTGGGCCCCTGAAGCACCCTAAAGCCAGGCAAGTCTCCAAACATTTTGGAAAGTTCAGCCTGTATTTCCTTTGTAATGGAATGAAATGCAAAGAATACTGGATTCTAATCCTTTATTCTCTACTTACTGTTTGCTCTGGGACAAATCTCTTACTCTCTTTGAGCCTGAATTTCCTAACCTGTGACAGAAGGATGATAATGTCTATTCCACCTACCTCCCAAGATTGTAAGATGGAAACATGAGAAGTGCATGCAATGTATGATTACCATTTCCAAGATGAGTATCCCAATTGCTTACATGCTCTCATCTTGATCCTATATTTCAATTTCCTTTTTTGCTTCCCTGAGCCTCACACTACTTCTGTAGCCACTCATTTGTGCTGTAGGGTATAGTGTCTCAGGTAGGGTATAGCTCCCACTACCATACCTCCTTTCCCCAGGTCTTCCCTCCTGGTCCTCAGGGAGGAGACCCAAGAGAAAGATGATTTCCCTAGTCTTCTACCCATCATAAAACTGGGTATCCTCACCCCAGAGAGGTCATCTCAGCAGGGAGAGCTGAGGTGTGACCTCATGGTGCCTCTCCTTCCTATCCTGGCCATCCCCTTTCCATGGCAGGAATCCCACAGAAACCCGTAATCAGTGGCTACAAGTCATCATTACGGGAAAAGGAGACAACCACCCTGAACTGTCAGTCTTCTGGGAGCAAACCTGCAGCTCAGCTCACCTGGAGGAAGGGTGACCAAGACCTCCATGGTAAGTTCCTCCTACCTTGGGGTAAAGGGAGGAGGTGGTACTGGGTCAAGGAGGAGAGAGGGAGACAGAGGGGTACGTGTCCATACGTCTTTGTATATGCACATAAGGCATGGTGTAAAAGGAGAAAGGGGAAATGACAGATATTCTGTGTACACTTACGTGTGTGTGTGTATATCTGTGTTAAGGCCTACATTCTCCTTGTGTGTACATATCCATTTCACAACTTTCTAAGTTTGTCTAAGTTGAGACTCACCATCTGTATGTCTACAGTGGGGCCCACACAATATCTGTATGTTAGAGCTCACTCTGTGTCTATGTGTATGTGCATGTGTCTGTTTCTGCACTCTAGGGGAACCAACCCGAATACAGGAAGATCCCAACGGTAAAACTTTCACCGTGAGCAGCTCAGTGACATTCCAGGTTACCCGGGAGGATGACGGGGCAGACATCATATGCTCTGTGAACCATGAATCTCTAAAGGGAGCTGACAGATCCACCTCTCAACGCATCGAAGTATTATGTATGTCCTGGGCTTGTGGGTGAAGAAGGATCAGGTATGAGATGGGGAGTGGGGAAAAGGAAAGTGCCAGTGACTGTATATGAAACAACAGGCACAGATAAGTGAATAGGTTAAAAAAACAAGACAAGAGGTGACAGGACTAGGCCCAGGGTGAGCAATTTTTCTCTGTAAAGGGTCCAACAGCAAACATTTTAGGCTTTGAGGACCCTATGGTCTCTCAACTACTTAACTCTGCTGTTGCTGCAGAAAAGTAGCCATAGACAATATGTAAACAAATGAACATGGCCATGTTCTGATAAAACTTTATTTACAGAAACGTGTAGCTGGCAGGATTCAGCCCAGCAAGTAAGTGTACCAACTCCTGGGCTAGGCCAGTGTTTTGCACCTAGATTGTAAATTGTAGTCGTAACTGTAGCAAATCAGAAGTCAGAAGATGCAGGTTCTAGTCTGCCCTCCACCACTTATTAGCTGTGTGTTGTTAAGAAAATTACTTTATCCCACTGAGCTTGATTATTTGCTAAATGAGAAGATGAACATGGGGATCACTAAGGCTTCTTCCGGGTCTAACATACTGCGATTTCAAGAAAAAATAGGTGGTAGGAAAACACAACCTCTCTGGCGTCGTTATTCCCAGATCCTTCTCTACAGTACTCCCCTATCTGCCCCAGCCCTATGATTTTTCTTGAGATTCTAACCTGAAATGGTCACTGTCATGATCACTACTCCTAACTTTTCCAAGGATCCTCGTCCCTCTATGGAATCTGCCTTGAGTACGGACAGGAAACTTCCCTCCTCACCTGAGGAAATTTGGAAATTTTCAAAAAAGAATTTTTCGGAGTGGAGAAACCAAGGGAAAAAGAAAATAAAGTACAAAGGTAGAAGATAATGAGTGATAAAATAATGCATTTCTTGTCCTAACTTATCTACAGGCTGGTGTTCTTCTAAAATAACTAAAACACTTAATCTCTTTCTTACGGAAGATCCAGGCCTGACCTCAGTGCTATTTAAATCAATTGCTAGACACATCGCAGAAACTTAAACGTGAGGTAGGTTTGGGGTGGCTTCACTTTCCATTTAGCAGACTCTCCATCTGGAAGCAGACAACCTGAATTCCAGCTCAAGTGCCGCTGCTTACGGACTATGTTAACTTTCACCAAAGCATTCCGTCTCTTAGTGGCTCCTGCTTACTTCACTGAATTTTTGTGAGGATAAATGAAACAATATGTATGAAAGAACTTTGTAAGCTTCAAAGTTCTATATTGCTATAAGGTGTTTCTCTGATTATTAGTTACGAGTGTGAGGCCCTGGCCTGGGCTCCTTCCCCTGGGCCCGGTCCCTGGCCAGAGCTAAAGAAGGCACTCCCATCTGAGTCTCAAAGACTTCTCTGTTAGGTACCAGACCATCTGGCAATTACTCTCCAGGGCCCTTTTGGCCCAACTGTGATCGGCAGTCAGTCAACAAATGCTATTCTCCAGGCACCGTGCTAGAGGTTTTTATGGCTGTGGGGCCCCAGAACACCCATTCTCTCACCTGGCCTGATTCTCTTTGTCCTGTTTGATTTGACTGAAACATGTTCATTAACTGGTTGTTAAGGTTGGCTCTATCCTTAGGGGAAGCTTGGCCTCTTTATCTGTTGTTCTAAACCAGCATCTGGTTGTATTGTTCTACCCGGCCATCTGGACCCAGCCTCCTAAGCAGCCCTTTGGCGTCAGTGGCAGATGCCATTCTTCCTTCGCAGGGCCTATCTATATTGTGTCAGTGCCTTTTTGCAGCCAAAATATGGCCCCCATCTCTTGCTGTTTCAAAGCTCTCACTTCATTTTTGGTCTGACCACCAAAGCATTGCAATCAAGCAGTGCTTCCAGTTTACACTCCCTTGCAGAGCAGAGAGGATTGAGAGGTTGTGAGCTCATAAATGGTCAAGTTCAAGTTTATCCGTTCTGTCAAAAATATGTATGAAGTCCCATTTATGTGCTAGGCAGTGTGCTAGGCACAGAGGAACCAGTGACCCCCTTCTCAGCTCTCTAAGACATCCTTTGGGTCTCCACCAAGGACAGAACTTCTGGAATCCTCCCTCCACGAGGTTGCAGAACAAGTCCATCACACATTCAGTGGCAATAGCGATCTTTGCTCACAAAGGTGGGGACGAAGGTCTTGTTCACAGCCTCTTGGGCTTCTGAGGCATTTAGGGGTAGAAGCTGTAGTGCGTAGCTGGCTGGTTTTGGGATTGAGACAATCTCCTAAACAGTGTGAGAGTTTTCATCGATGCCATTTCCTTCTCCACAGACACACCGACAGCGGAGATTAGGCCAGACCCTCCGAAACCCCGCGAGGGCCAGAAGCTGTTGCTACACTGTGAGGGCCGTGGCAATCCCGTGTAAGAAGATCCATTTCCTGGTCTCTGATAACCCCTCCATACTCTCAGACTGTGATCTTCACCTAGAGTCTTCCCATCTCCTTTTCTACTGTCCGAGCCTCTCATTTTCCCTGACGCTGTCTAACAACGTCGATCCTCTGATGGTTTCTCCGCAAAGCAATGGAAGTGGGGAGGGGCCACTCTCTGGCTGGGCACCTGAGGTTCCCATAAGGAACCAAGTTACAGTAAGATACAAGTTAGGAAATCTCCCTCATCCCCAGATCGATCCCCAAGAGAGCACCCTCCCCCTATCTCTGAGCAGCTCAGTGTTTCTGGCCCCTATAACTTCTCGAGCCTTCATCAAACATTCTTTGACTTTCCTGCTCCCAGTTATTTTTGTCTCCCTTTAGCTCCCTGACCTACTCTCTCCTGAACACTTCTGATTTCTCTGCCTCCACAGCCCCCAGCAGTACCTATGGGAGAAGGAGGGTAGTGTGCCACCCCTAAAGATGACCCAGGAGAGTGCCCTGATCTTTCCCTTCCTCAACAAGAGTGACAGCGGCACCTATGGCTGCACAGCCACCAGCAACATGGGCAGCTACAAGGCCTACTACATTCTCAATGTGCATGGTGAGCCCTCCTCTGGCCTCCTCCAGCATCCCCCTGCTCCCCTTCTCTGTCCATCTTATACCCTCGTCTTTCTATCTCCTAAGAGCATCCCAGACTGTACCTGAGAGTGGACTAATGAGACAGCAGCCCGCCATTGGAGGGCCTGAGGACTTAGGCTCTAGGTGCACTCTGGAATGTGTAATAAGGAAAAATCAAGAGAATGGTGGGTTCTCATCTGCCTGTGTCTAGTAGTGGTGACCCAAGTGACACCATCTCCCAACCCCTGCACTCACCTGGAAACAAGAATAATAGCTCTGTGTGCAGAGGCCAGAGCCTCTCAAGTGTGGCCGTAGAGGCATTTCCCTTTGCAACTGGCTCTTCTCAGAGTTACTTCTCCTGTGACTACTATGGCTTGCATGCTACTGCTATCATCTCCTTTTCTGCAGACCTTGGACACACTATACTGGATCCAGGCAGAAAATAGAGATACACTTGCACTATGCTGACAGTCAGAATCATTTCTCAGATGCCATATCTTCTAGAAGGTGATGTTCCTTCTCTGAAGTTCTTCCCAAAGCTGTGACCACAAAACCCGGCTTCAGGATAAGTGACAGGCTGGCACAGAGGCCCCTTTATGGAGAGTTGGCAGGAGATATTTTGAAGACCCCAACAGCAGTGGGGTCCTGCCTGAAAGTCGTATAAGCCTTTCCTCAGAATAGGAAAACGCATTGTCAGGGGAACATAAGAGGCTCCCTTACTTGGAAAGTCCATTAAAGCAGGGAGGGGATAGCAGTCAGGCCTCTCAGGGATAAGAGACCTGAGATCTTAGAACCAGAGTGTCTGGATGGGCTGATTCCAACTCCAAGGGCAGACCTCAGCATGTGGGAGCTGCCTCAGCACAACAAACAAAGCTATTGTAGGATGCCAGGAGCCAGGACAATGCACTGAAGTCCCGTGTCTGCCCCCAGATCTCTCCAGACCAACTCTGATGATGACTGGCAGTGAGAGAAAGGTCTTGTGCCCTTGTGGGTGGTCTCTTCCTGATCCCCCCTGTCCTGTGCTAGAAAGCCAAGTCCTGTTTGACTGCATCTGCTTCCAGTGCTGACACCTGGTGGTAGAATGAGTTACTGCATCTTCTTCCAGAAATATCCTCAGCAGTCCTGACCCCCACCAGCCTGGAATGAAATTAAGTGGAGTTCTACCTAGAGATAGGAACCTGTAACTGATGACCCCAGAGGTCATTTTGGCTATGGAAACCTCTGCTTTTCTAAGGAATTTCCATTTCCATAGCCTCTGGAATAATTATCCAGGATTGGTTTTTAATGTAGACTGTGTCTCACATACTCCATGGGAGAAAGATAGTGGGGTAGACTCACTCTGCTTCCTCCAACTTACACCATCGCACCCACCCCATCATATCATGGAGCCGCCGGCCCCATCCTCTCCCTCCATCCAAAGCAGAGCATAAAAACCAGAGCATAAGTGTTTTCTTTTCAAATAAGGCATAGACAGGCAAGGAACTAAAAAGCTGGCCTAGTCAAGCCTGAGGAGACATAAGGTACGAAAGACAAGATATATAAGGAGTCAATGAGGCATCAAGACTCAAACTGAGTCTGTGGAAAAACAGTAGCTCTCCCATGGGTGGGAGAGTCGTATCTGCGGCTAGTGTAATTTTGGACACATCAGAACTGTGTCCTGGGCTGGTGCACTGTCTCCTCAGATATTTGGGACTCTGCCTATGGCTGGTGCCATCCTTGGCATGCATCGCCCAGTCTGCTAGGGGTATCTATCCTCTGTAAATGCTACTGTGGAGGACAGATTCTCTGTATCTCATGGCAGAGACATCAGCCATCATGGGAGGAAGGAGTTCAATCTTTGTCGTTCCCACAAACCTTTTGAGGAAGTGAAGACGGAGTCCCAGACCTCCCTGATGACACATGCTAGAGGATTGGGGTTTTGCTGGGACTCTAAACTCCCTGCCAAGACGGAACACTGTTCCTTATACGGGGGTCACAGCCTCTCATCTTTCAGAAGGTGCTGTCAAAGTGCCTAATTCATCGCTCGATCGGTTTTTCACTGCTCCTTCTCTATCTGATCTCAGGTAGATAGACGTTTGAAGCTTAGACATTAAAGCCGTGATCTTTGACCGAGGTCAAGCTTCAATGCCATTAACTTACCTTAAAGGGTTGAGTGTGAGCAGATTTATCTATTTTTTCATGAATACATCAGTTTTTTTTGTTTTTGATTTTTTTTGGTGAGGAAGATCGGCCCTGAGCCAGCATCTGCCAATCCTCCTCTTTTTGCTGAGGAAGAGTGGCCCTGGGCTAACACCCATGCCCATCTTCCTCCACTTTATATGGAACGCTGCCACAGCATGGCTTGAGAAGCAGCGTGTCAGTGCGCAGCCAGGATCCAAACCGGCAAACCTCGGGCCGCCGCAGCGGAGCGCACGCACTTAACTGCTTGCACCACCAGGGCTGGCCCCTACATCAATTTTTTTTTAAATAATTGCTGTGTTCCAGACACTTTACAAGAAACTAGTGTACAAAATAAGGCATAACTATTTTGCCGAATGATGCCATTCCATTCTCCTGATGTTAGTCCATGTTCTCTGCTGTGTAAGATTACCCATGGCCAGGTCAGAAATGCTGTAAGATCAGGGTTCCTCCCAGATCTAACTGTGCATTCCCCATTCCCCTCCAGACCCCAGTCCGGTACCCTCATCCTCCAGCACCTACCACGCCATCATTGGCGGGATCGTGGCTTTCATCGTCTTCCTGCTGCTCATCCTACTCATCTTCCTCGGCCACTACTTGATCCGGCACAAAGGTCAGAGGCGTGAGGAAAGCATCAGGAGAACTTGGGAGTGGGTAGGGAGATCAATCAGGGGCAGGCAGGAAGGAGCCGGCTGCAGGAAGGGCCTCCAGAGACTCAGTCGGCCCCTTGGTGCGTTTGCAGAAGAAAGAATGCAGACAACCCTGTGATAACTGAGCACCACAAGCCCCGCAGTGGAGCCTGATCGCTGGTGATCATCTAAGTAAAAGCAAACCTTCCCACTCAGTCAGCTGCTGCTCCCAGGCTGCTCTGCCTCCAGGGTGTAACTGCCCAAACTCTGCTTCTCCCCCCCGTTTCTTCCTGCACTTTCTTCCTTTCTGTTTAGCCGCATTTTCCTTGTCCTTTGATCTCCTCATCCACCCCTTGTCCCCACACCATCTCTTTTCTTTTCTCTCCTCTCCCATATCCATGCCATCTCTCTACCCTCTCCTCACATTGCTGCCTCTCAGACTCTCCCCTCTGTTATTACTTCTAGCCAGCAGCCAGACCCCATGGACCCATCAAATGCTAGCCAGATCTTCATTTGCTCATGCATCTCTCATGAAGCTGACATAGCGGTTTCCCTATCACCGCCTTACACGCACACATGCACACACACACACATACATACATAAATACACATACACGTACACGTACATACACACGTAAGCAATACAGATACATGCATGCATACATACACACATACATACCCATACACACACACCATTTTTTTGGCCTGTATTATAGATGAGATTCTGGTTAAAGGCAAGATTCATTAACTCATTGGGGTGTGGTCAGGTGAGGGATGTTGGCAGCAAGACACAAATTAGGTCAGGAGGGGAGGAAGAAGGCTCAAGGCAGGAGAAAAATTGCAGGAACAAGATGTGGGTGGGTGGGGTGGGTAAGAAAGTGGGCAGAGGAGGCTTCAGAGGATTGGAAACTGCTCCTGAAAGAAGCAGCCTCTATCTCTCCCCAGGAACCTACCTGACGCACGAGGCGAAAGGCTCTGATGACGCCCCAGACGCAGACACGGCCATCATCAATGCAGAAGGCGGGCAGTCGGGTGGGGACGACAAGAAGGAATATTTCATCTAGGGGTGCCCACTCACCTCCTGCGCCCCCTAGGGGCCCCATGGGGACTGCTGGGGCCATCACCAACCCGGACTTGTACAGAGCGACCCCAGGGCCGCCCCTCCTGCTTGCTCCCCAGCCCCCCCACCCCCTGTACAGAATGTCTGCTTTGGGTGCGGTTTTGTACTCGGTTTGGAATGGGGAGGGAGGAGGGCGGGGGGGAGGGAGGGTTGCCCTCAGCCCTTTCCGTGGCTTCTCTACGTTTGGGTTACTATTATTTTTGTAACAATCCCAAATCAAATCTGTCTCCAGGCTGGAGGGGCAGGGGCACGGGGGTGAGAAAAGCAAAAAACCTGGAGTGTTGGGAGGAGGATGAAGGTGGAGGGGTGAAGACAGGAAAGGAGCAGGGCTGGTTTGGTAGGGGGCCCCTCACCAGCCCTCCATTCTCTACAACAGAGGGCTCCCCAACTTCTCCAGGAATGGGGAGGTTGTGAGCAGGCGCTGGAGGTGGCTTTTCCTCTGCTAGTCACACACCTCAAGCTATGGACAGAGAAGCGAGTGCCACCCTGACACCTCTGTTCCACACAATGGGAAAGGAGTGAATGGGGGTCCTCTAAGAGATGTGACCTGCAGATGGCGTGCACCACGCAGGGCCCCGGGGCTGCAACATGGGGAGGACACGGGTCCCTGCAGGGAGGGGTAGATTTGGAGAGGAAGGATGGCAGAGATGGCCCCGTGTACCCCCTGCCCCACCCCAATGAGTGAAGCCAGGCTGTTTTCCAGGAACCGCCCTTGGGGGATAGCAGAGCAAGGCTGCCCCTCCTTGCTCCAGCAGCTGTGGGAGAGGCGCTGCTCAGGGGGGCCTGAACTGCATCTGCTTCCCCCTGCTGAGGGGCCGCTCACTCTCGCCCAAACCTTGGACTGTTGCACGGCAACCATTCCTCCTATGGCATTGCTCAGCAACTACCCCTCCTCGTCTTGTGCCCTCCTGTGCCCCTTCCTGTTCCCTAAGCCTTAGTCCTTCCTCCCTCCCTCAGCAGCCAGGCAGACATAACAACAAAAATACTAAAAGGAGCTTCACTGCACTGAGCTGTTTCCTGCCCAAACGAAGGGAATAATGTGAACTCCGTGAGCATGTGGATGTGTGTGTCTGTGTGTGTGTCTGTGTGTCTGTGTGGCTATGTGTGTGCGAGTGAGAGACAGAGAGGGGGTCCTGGGCAGGTGGGTGGGCTGTGGGACACGTAAAGAAGGGCTTTGGGAGCGGAGGATTCCTGGTCAGGCTTTGCACCTCACCTGGGATCTTGCTCCATCCTGGTATTTTCCATGCCCCCCCCCACAATACCCATCTGTCGTGGAGAAAACAGTCCCAGGATGTGTTTTTGTTCAGTTGTCCATCTTGTCTCTCCCTAAAACACAGAGCATTCAACCCCTGCTTCCATTTCCCTTCTCGGAGCCATGGAGTCAGTGCCACAGCCTTTGCTATGCACCCCTCAGGCCTCTCCCTGGCACTGACCCTGGAATGACCACTGTCACTTCTTTTTCCCATAGTCTGTACCGAGTGCTTTGAGAGCTGGGGGTGAAACCTCCAGTCTCCTTCCCATCTCCACTCCTGCTTTTGATTTTCTGTCTTCCTTCATGGCCAAGCTGGTTTCCGTGGAGATGAGGTTGCTCACCCTCCCTGTCCCAGCCGGCCGCCCTGCCTCAGACCCAGATGCCCCTTGGCACCGCTCTCCCCCTCCTCCAGCATGTCCTTCCTGCTCTGACAACCCAGGGGCGTGCAAAATGGGGGCAGCTGCATCCAGCAGGTCTGCCCACCCCTTCAGTTCAGGTAATACCGTTTTGAATCTTCCAGCCGATGGTTAGGGCCCTGGGCACCACAGGCAGCCCCTCACCTAAGCCAGGGCCCCCTCCTCTTATAAAAGTAAGGCAGCCTAGGGCCTCAGGCCTGTCAGCTCCATCTCCCAGCACCCGCTTTTGGGAAAATGACTTTTCCTCTTTGAGCTGAACCACTCTGTCCATATTACACAGAAGCCATATTTGTACGGGGGGCGGGGGGAGAGGGCCTGTTGTGCTGTGTGTGTCTGTCTGTGGGGGAGGGAAGGGAGCAGGGAGGGGATCGTGTATCTTTATAATCTTTCTAACTCTCCTGTGCTAATCTCAGAGGGGCCACCCTCAATATATCTGGATTATCCGTGTCGCTCGGCTGCCTCCTTCTTGCCGCTCTTGCTCCTGTTGGGACGTGTGTGTGTAAGGGCTGCTCTGCTGGTCTCCCCTGTGCCTGGTACCTCCAGGGACGATGTGTGCCTTGCCATGCCGCTCTCCCAAGGGCATCTCTGTATGGAAACAATACAGTTCTCAAAGGGAGAGAAGTGTGTTCACCCCCTTTGGCTGGGTTCTTGCTTTCCAGAGTGTTTGGGGGTGGGAGGACATCTTATTACTCCCCACTGCCCTCTGTCAGGCAGCGCTGGAGAGAATGCAGATGAAGCTGGAGACACAGCCAACACCACTCCAGGACAGCTTCACAGGACCCTCCCCAAAGTCACTTTCTAACCCCCTTCATGTTGAACTTGACACTGGAGCTAGTGTCCTGGAAAAAAAAAGCAGACAGTCTCTGTAAGGTACCCATCCTTTTGCATCTTTGCTTCCTGCTCTACCTCCAGGTGCCCCTGTGTGATGGGAAAGAGCTACTTGGCAGAATTGGAGTTAAAACATCCCATGCTTTCTTGGAGAAATGAAATAGTGTCACCTAAGCAGCCATCTCTATCTCATCATTCTGACTTGGACACTCCATGACTCACTCCTCCCAATGTCCAGGCTGTTGCCCCAACAGAGGAAACAAGATGCAGGGGTGGGAATGAAACAGGAGAGATCATGCGAAAGCAGTGGGGGTGGGTGGGGTGGAGAAGGGGCTACTGAAGAGCAGAGGTGTCGGCTTAGGGGGATCCGCCTGCAGGGTAGAAGCCCCTTCTCTCTGCAGGATGGAGAGAAATAGAAGCTCTCCCCCTCATACGAAACTTTACATATTGCTAACATGCCAGGCCAATGTAGCAGTTCTGGAGCCTTTATGTCCCCCAACAGAAATATGAATAAGGATTACTCCATAGACAACAGTCCCATTTTAAAATATGCTGTCGCATTGTCCCTGAGAGCCTACTTTAATTTGTCAGACCATGTGTTCTGCTTGGTATGGAAGCTGCGTTCACTGCGCCCATAGGTGGCTAGACAAATGCCCAATCGCTCCCTGAAGGAGCTTCATTACGCAGCCTTGACAGCGGGCCCCCAACCCTCCCTCCTCTCACACTGAAACACCCTGAACTGGAGCTAGCAGGACACATACCCAGACACCTGCCTAATGCCTAGCACTCAGATATGTGCACACGATACACAACACAGCCACAAACACAGATAAGTCCATTCGTATACACAGACCCACACACAAAAAGCCCCGCCCACACACACACGACTCAGGTTGTCATTATCACTTGGATCCAACCACGACCACCACTGACACCCCATCCCACAAACACATCACTTTTGAACCATCTTTCCTTGGATCAAGTTCAAGGTAATGGAGGAACAGCAGCGAGAGTCATCAGCTGCCCGTTCCCTTCACTTTCCTAGCATGTCTCTTATCTCTGTTTCACACTTCACCCCTGGCCCCCTCTTCCTTCCTTGTGCTTGAAGAATCCTTTCTTGCTGGGAAATCCTCTGGTTTCTCAGACTCCCTTTCCATCTTCGGGAAAATACCCACTATCTAGTCGCCACCTTCTTCCTTTTTCGAGTGCAGGTCCCCACCAGAGGAATCCAAACAAAACAGGAAGCCTGCCAGTGACCCCTGTGGGCCTGAGGCTTGGGCAGGCAGTGGGCGTAGGGTAGAGGCTTCCTGAATGGCCCCACCGCCTGCCCTTGGCCCTGCCCAGAATTGTTGGCCTTCATTAGTCCACAGCACTTATCTTGGAACCACAGCCACTGACAGAACGGTCCCTGCCCTTCTCTGCCTGCCCTGCGCCCAGCAGTGCCATGGGGAACTGTGTGCACCGGGTGAGTCTGGGACGGAGCCCACAGCCCCAACATTTTAGCCCCTCGGTCTGCCCCTCGGGTTTTTAGACACCTTTCCTTCTCTCCTCGTCTCTCATCCTTTCCCTTGTTTTTCCTTTCTCTCCCTCTTATCCCAGTCTCTGAGGTCCCCCATTATTTTCCTCCTCATTTGCCTTTCAGTCAGTTCCATCCATATCCTTGTCACCTCCCCGGACTTTCCCTGCTCTCCAGTCCTGTCCACTACCCCACTACCCCTGCACTTGCTTCTCCATGGCTCTTTCTTCCTCCACAGGCCCCTGAGTCTCCCTGCATTGTCCTTTCCACCATCCCCACTGCATCCAACTCCTCCAGCTCCCGCTTTCCCTCTGTCCTTCTCCCCCGCTGCTTGCCCTCAGTTCCCGGGAGACTCTTCAATGGGGTAACTAGATGCTCTGATTGCCCCTCTCAGGGTGTCCAGCTGGTGCCTGATGAGAACTTTAGTATGTCGGACTTGGGAGACGAGTTATGGAGTGAGTTTAATGAGTCGTATGATATGGACTATAACAGCACCGACATGGAAGCAGCAGCCCCCTGCCACTCCTGTAACCTGCTCGACGACTCCTCGCTGCCCTTCTTCATCCTCGCCAGTGTCCTGGGCATCCTAACCAGTGCAGCTGTCCTCTTCGCACTTCTCAAACCTCTCTTCCGCTGGCAGCTCTGCCCTGACCGGCCTATCCTGGTACAGCTGGCTGTGGGCAGTGCCCTCTTCAGCCTCGTGGTGCCCATTGTGGCACCAGGGCTAACAGGGGTCTACAGCATCCACCTGTGCCACCTGGCCCACTTGGTCTGGTATGGCTCAGCCTTTGCCCTGGCTCTGCTGATCGCGTGCCGTGCCTGTCTGGGCCCCAAACTGAGTGCAGGCCAAGTCCCAGGCCTCACCCTGGGGCTCACTGTGGGTGTCTGGGGAGTGTCTGTCCTATTGGGGCTGCCTGTCCTAGACCATGAACTTCCCCAAGGACTCTGCACTCTGACATTCAGCAGGGGCCAGGGGGTTTTGCTGGCCATACACACTGCAGCCTGTTTTGCCATCTTCTTCTTGTTGCCACTGGGTTTGTTGGGAGCTAAGGGGCTGAAGAAGGCATTGGGCAGGGGACCATGTCCCTGGGTTGATGTCCTGTGGGTCTGGTTCATTTTCTGGTGGCCCCATGGGCTATTTCTGGGATTAGACTTCCTGGTGAGGTCCAAGTCCTTGAAACTGTCAACATGTCTGGCCCAGCAGGCCATGGACCTGCTGCTGCAACTGACAGATGCCCTGGCAATATTACACTGTGTGGCCACACCCCTGCTCCTAGCCCTGTTCTGCTACCAGGCCACTCGCACTGCCTCACCCTCCCTGCCTCTCTCGGCAAGACAGTCTTCTCATCCGGACAACCTTAGAGACAAATCCTTGCTCTCCTCCCGCCTGTCAACCTGAATTAAAGTCTACACTGCTTTTATGAAGCTGGTGGTTTCTTATTTTGTCTAGGGATGTAGAAGAGAGGAAGGGGAATAGAGAGAGAGATTTCACACCAGACTTTCCTGCCAGCGTCTGTTTCTCTAGCTGGCCTGGGGAGAATGTGAATGACCTACAAACATCCTCAGGGCACACAGATGTTCTCTTGAGGTGTGGGATTACTGCCATCTCAAGGGAGAAAAGAAAGAAGACCAGAGTATGAGGTGAGCAGCGAAGCCTAAAAAAACTAGAAGAGATGGCTTAGCAGGTAGAGAAGACGAGAATCTGCTGCAGAGAGCAAATGAAATACGAATAGAAACTGGAGAGAGAAAAACAGAGAAGAGTGAAGATGAGCACAGAGCATGACTCCCCCTCCGTGTCGGGCCTGTCCAGCCTTCTTCTCTGCCTTCTATCTCCCTGACACTTGTTGGGTCTGTTTAGAGATCAGGAGGGTAGTGGGGAAGGTGGAGAGAAGCATCCCGGGAGAACTTACTTAGTCCAGGGAACATACCAAGATAATTCTAAAAGCCACTTCCTAGGAGTCATCTCTCCAAGGTTTATTGCTGAGCATGACCCTAATCCCTGTGGGGGTGTGTGTGTGTGTGTGTGTGTGTGTGTGTGTGTGAGCGCGCATGCGCGTGTACATCTGTCTGTCTCCATCTGTTGGAACCATATCCACGTTAGACGCAAGCATATAATAACATATGTCTATGTGTGCTTGCCTCTCCGTCAGTGTCTGAACTGCACACACCTGTGCATGTGCTCTGACCTCTCTCAGGCCCCTCCCTCCACTTCATTTTGCTCTCCATCCTTGTTCTCGGGGATATGGAATCAGGATTTATGACTCACTCCTTACCCGAATGAGTTTTCTTTACCCCAGTCTTTGTGCCTAGATTTTTCTGTGTAGGATGTGTAGAGAGAACTAAAAATCAAAAGTTGTGAAGTGTGAGAAACTTAAAAGGAAGGGGCCTGATCTGATTCATCTTCTGCTTAGAATCCCCCAACTTTCCCTTTCAAAGCCCTTTCAGCTCTTGAAATAAACCGTTCTTTCCCACACAAATCTTTCCTTCCACCTTCCACGCTATACCCCTATGCCCCGGGTACCTCTTCCCCCTGATTTTCTGGCTGCTTAATCATGATCTTGGAGGCTTTTTCTCAACCCCGCACATCCAAGTTTAGGTGATGATTGGAAGGACAATGAAGAAGCCCCTCTTCATAAGGAGAACAACTTCTATGCCACCAACGAATTTACCCTCTACCCAAGATGCCACACACAAAAAAGTGAGTTCCTCTGTCCAACTCAATCCAAAGTTGGGGAAACTTGAGAGGGTACTTTACACCTGCCTGAATCCAGATATGGTCTTTCCATTCTTCAAAGATGTGCTTTCCCTGGTCTCTCCCCTATACTGTTTCTGCTTGACTCTTTGGGCTTGGAGATAAATAGGAGAGTGCAGGAGAGGAGCAGAGATGGGTTAGAGCATCCTAGGCAGGCAGTGTGAAAGTCTCCAGGAATTTTCCTGGGTGGGCCCGGTGACAAAGCCTCGAAATCCCCCACCTCTTGTCTCCTAGCAACCACCAGGTTAGCTGCTGATTGGTGCATCCTAAAGTGAAAGACAGGATTTAGGGACCGATTGAGATGCGGGAGACATTGTGAAACAGAAAGGAAGGGAGAAAAAATGAAGAAAAAAGAGACAATTTGTGAACCTAAATTATGCTAAGGTCTCCAAACACAGTTCATGAATGCGTCCCAGTGTTTTCTTTTTCTCTTATTCTCTTTTCAGCCTCCTCTCATACTTCCCGCTCCAGCCCCTGACCACTCTTTCAGTCCGACCAGGCATTACCCAACTCCCTTACAAGGTACTGGATTCGGAGGCTGACCTGGTTGTGGGGGATGAGAGGGTGTATTCCACTTCCTGAATCTTCCAGTGGCAACCTGATGCAAGGAAGGCTTAATTTAAGACTACTGGGGTTGTCTTATCTACCCCCCAACGTGTGCCTCTAGATAGAAATCCCTCCTTGCTCAGTCTAGTTGGAGAGATCCCCAGAAATCTCCACAGCTAGCACATCTCTCACAAAGGAAAGGCAGAGGCAGCAGCTGATAAGAGGTCAGAGTGGGTTGGAGACACCTCCCCACCGTTATCTCCTCCCATTCCATCCTTGCCGCTTTGCCCCAGTTCCTTCAATGGCCTGCCTTTCCCGTGTTATCTGTAAGTTCTTCTGTAAGTCTAACCCTGACCTCAGCCATTTCTTTAAGGCTTTCCTTGGGATCCTGTTACCCTAGTCCATTTGACCCACTACATGCCTCCATCCACTCCAAAATTCATCTGAATCTAGCATCTTTTCTGCAACCTTTCAGGAATACAAATCTTGTTTCCTTAGAACCCTTAAGAATTTAATCCTAGGGTTGGCAGGGACTTTACTGTGTATGAGTTATTGGGTCTCCTGGCTAAAGAAAAAATCCTCTCAGAAAGATGAGAGCCAGGGAGGCAAGCTCCAGGGAGCACAGAACACCCTGGGGAAGGTCAGTCTGCATTGCTTCTTTAAGGAGAGAGACTTACATCTTAAGGGAAGATTGAAGATCACATTGATGTCCATGGTTCATTTATTTCAGGCTGGGGCCTCTCCCAGAGGACTTAGCAAACAAATACCTGGTCCTCAGACCCTTTTATCCACCCTATTTCCCTATCTCCCCACCCCTACCCCATCATCACCTTCCTCCAGAAGCCACCCTCAGAGGAATTCTGATTGAGAACTTCACTGGGATTTCAAACCCAGTTCATCGCCAACTCTAATTGCCAGGGATTTGCATGAAAACCATCGTATGCTATCTAATTATTCTGACAACAGCAGCCCGCCGTCTGGGCACAAGGAGAATAGCAGTTTTAATTAACAATAATGCACCTTGCAGATGAATGTGACTGTTTAGGTTAATTAACAAGTCCAAGTCCTTCCAAATCATCTCCACATATCTTCTAGGTGGATTGGGAAGGAGAGATGTGGGGTAGGCAGGAGGTGCGGGGAATTTAGAAATCAGTTCAGCAAAAATGCGTGTTATCTTTCTTCTTTCCTGTAGCTATTGTGTAGGGAGGGAGGAATTTCCAGGAAAGAGAGTCCCTTGAAAAATTGGTTTAGGGGAATTTGGAGGCATAGCTTTAGGGGATTTCAGACATCTTTATTTCACACAAATTTAGGAAACTGCTTAGACACACTTGTGTAAATGAAAGGAAGAAGCCCTTGTTATTCTCAAACATCTCTAATTCATCGTCCGGTTGTTTGCCGACTTGGTTTCCAGCATGAGAACCCCAACTTCCCCATCGTGACATTTCTGCCCACCTTTCTGTTTATGTTCCTACCACGTTTGAGAGGCTCTTAAAGTTGCCTCCTTCCTAAGATTTCGCAGATAATGTCCCTTCCTTCTCAGGGATTATTGTTTGTACATTTTTCCTGAGTGGTTCTCTGTGTCCTGGAAGAATACACTGTGTGTGGCTCCTGGGCCTGGGCCCTGTCTTCTCCCTCCAAACCGGGTATTGTTAACCTTTGGGGTAGTGGGGATCATAAATCTCCTGGAAAATCTGATGAAAGTTATGAAGTGTCCCTTTAGGAAAATATAATATTACACTCCAACTTTGGCATTTAGTTCTTCCTGACTGCACTTGGAGTTAAATGCTTTCACTCTGCCTAACAAGACTTCTACAATCAGATGGTGGCTTTGTCTGCCCCTTGCTCACTAAGCTTGAGGCACTGTGGCCTAAAGAATTTTCCATTCTTTGAATGGGCAAATCCCATTTCCACTCTAAGAGTCTTCGTCCTTGACATCTCTTCTGACTGGAATGCTCTTTCCATGACTGGCTCTTCCCATACTTGGGATCTCAATGCAAATATCACCTCCTCCAAGTCTGACCTTCCCTGACATGCAAGAGGATGTAGCCCCCGGCCACCCTATGCACCAAATAATTCTCCAGCAATTCACCTGGGATGTCTCCAGTGTAGGACTTATCACACAATGACAATTGTCTTATTTCTTTTCTTTTTTCTTTTTTTGCTGAGGAAGATTAGCCCTGAGCTAACATCTGTTGCCAATCTTCCTCTTTTTTTTTTTTTTTTTTGATTGAGGAAGACTAACTCTGAGCTAAAGTCTGTGCCAATCTTCCTGTGTTTTGTATGTGGGTCCCCACCACAGCATAGCTGACAAGTGGTGTAAGTCCACAGCTGGGATCCAAACCCAGGAACCTGGACCTCCAAAGTGGAGCAGGCAAAACTTAACCTCTATGCCACGGGGCCTGCCCCAACATTGTCTTGTTTCTTCATCTGTTTGCTTACCAGTTCATTGCTCATCTAACCTCTTCCCACCACTAGAAAACAAATTGCCAAGAGAGCAGGAACTTTTTCTCTTTTGTGACTGGAACATAGTCAGAGCTCAGTAAACATGTGCTAAATATGTGAATTAATTAATTTTGTATGAATAAAGTGGGTGCCCCACCTTGGAGGGTTTACAGTCTCGTGGGGAAGAGTAACAGGTAAGCAAAGAATTAGTGCAGAATACCCTCCAGAGAATGTACCTTCTCTCCCTTAGTCCTCCTGGGTATCTCTCCCACGCCATGCAGTCCTCTAGGGGCTGAGGAGACAGGAGGACTGTCAATACATGATTTTTGGCCTGTGAACCTGTTTTCTGGCTCAACCTTTAGCCGACTGGAGCTGGGGGCCTTCAGCTCAGTTTGTGAGCTGCCCATCGGAGGAGCAATGCTTTCTTTCCTCTGGGACACTGCGGGCTTTGGACAGAAGGAGAGAGCTGGGAAGGGCTGTCATTTTTCATCTTTGCTTGAGGAAAAGTGAGTCCCAGGAGACTTGCCCAGAATTCTAGGACACAGTCTTCCATCGGCTCAGAATCAAATTCGGAGTCCAGCTACCTCCACAGATTTCATCACACTCAGGGAGAAAGCCACACCCTTCTTGGACCTAAAAGTCATTTCTGTCTCCCTGTT